GCTTTTCTGTCATGCCATAGTTATCATATAGTGGTTAATATCAGTTTCCATGCTATCCATGTGGTTCCATTAATCCTTCTGCTCATGCCTTATAAATACCTAGAAAACTATACCATGTTTAATTATGTTTATCCTTAAACTGTGTTTTTTGTCTGAAAGGTGAACTATGCCCTTCTTGTTCTTGCTTTTTACATATATGCCTGCTTATCTTTCTGATGCATTTTTGCAGATGCACTTTAGGATTTTTAAAAATTTGAAAACATGATTTTTTCACTGGCATTTGTGCCAGAACTTAATTAAAACTTTATATTAGTAAGGAAGAAAAAACACATTTTTCCGATATTAGGTCTTCTCATCCAAGACGCTTCTCATTATCTAAGCTTTATTCAGTGTTTGTTAAGTCCTGTTTCATATTTTTCTTCTAACTAGCCCACACACTTTGTAGCTTCTCACTAAAGAGTTGTGGCAAAGAACCCCAATGCCCACATTTTTCCTCCTCCTGTTCACAGAGGAAGACGACCTTTCCCAGGTTCCCTCAGTGTAAAGTGGGACTATGAGTCTGGCTCCTGGTCAGCAGAAAGTGGATCCAAGTAAAATATAGTCTCCAGTTCTCCTGTTGTCTCTGAGTGGATGCAGAAGACCCCATGGAAGACTAAGGCTAAAACGATGGCAAAGCTACTGGAGGGATGGAGTTTTGGTCACCATACACTGTTACGAGGAAGACTGCCTGTTAAAAGTCATTTGTATTGTGATGTGAGAGAGAAAACTTTCTGTCTTCAGCAACCGAGGTACTGTTTTTCTAAATAGTTATTCTCTGATTAATACAGTATTCTTTATTTTTATCCCAATTTTTGTGAGTTATTTTGTCTTATATTTCTATACATAGGAAAGGAAAAGTATTGAAGTTTGTTTTTAGATAGCTAATCTTGTAAATTAACTAATTTATATTATAAGTGTTAATTTATATATAAGTGTTAATTTTTCACTCCATTCTCGTGTAATTGCCAGTTGGATATGAACCAAATAAGGTTCTGTGTATGTTTCTTTTGGAATAATTACAACTCATATTTCTGTTTCTTAATTTATTGAATTCCAGAAACTCTGCAATAATTATAAGAAAATGGAAATGAAGACCATCTCTGACCTGATCCTGACTTTATTGAAAAAGACATAGTGTTTTCTGCTATTCAGTGTTCTAATATAAAGATCTATATTATTTGTCATGATAATTTTATACTTTTTTTTCAAGAATGGGTATTGAATATGAGAATATGATATACATTGTTTTCCTCTGACCTATTCAATAAACTGTATACATTGATTTTCTAACATTAAACTATTCTCCTATTCCCTAGTTGGTTTTGCTAATTCAATTCTTGGAAAATAATGTTGTCTTCCATTTACTGATTGAGGAACTTATGTATCTACTTTTATGGAATTTATACATCTGTAATTTAGTTAAAATTTGAGCTTCAGGTCGGTTTGTATATATTAAATTTTGCTGTCCATATTGTTTTGAGTTTCACTAAATTCCAGAGTTTTTCACTGATAATCTAGTTTGGAGTTAAAGTTGTTCCCTTGTTGTGGCCCAGTGATACTGAATAGTTGAATATTATGAAGTAACATAAATAAGCATTAACAGATTTGTCCCCATTCTGCATAAGAATTTGACCTCCAGTAAAGCTTCTAGATCTGAGTCCCTGAGATATGATAGAAGAATGTCATCAGGCCCCAGCCACACTGCTCATTGTGACACTCAGCTGTAAACATGCATCTGAGCTAGGAGAATTATAAATGCTGAGAGAGTCACACACTTGGCCTTCCCTGAGTGCTCTGACTCCTATCATTGGAATCTCCCTTGCAGACACCCTAGAAATATGCCTAGCAGATATTACGAGAGATTTTGGCTCCTGTGCATCCTGAGGCTTTCAAGTCAAGGGTTCACCCAAATCAACCAATGAGTTTCTCATCTCTTTGCTCCTGGGGACAAAAATCTATTTGTGGACTACTGCAGGGAATACCACAGAAGGGAACGGACAGCATGTTGCGCTTCTCGTCCCGTATCTTCCTGAGGGATTGTGTGCCAAGATGGGCCAACGGTAATCTGATGTTGAACTGAGCTTCAGAAGACCGTTTGATGGATGTTGGACACTGTCCTGAAGCACAGTGTCCTTCCTCCCCAGGGCCCTAATGTAGCTCATGGATGGAATCACTAGAGACCACACTGATGATTCTGTGACGCAGCACTTCCGTGCCTTGCTGCCTCAGTCCACAGTCAGTATGCGACGGAGGCTCATCACTGTGTTGGGGGCTGGTCACTCCACCTCACATTTCCGCTTCTTGTGGTACGGCTTTCACTTCCTCCTGTCTGGAGTACTTGTAGCTGCCTTGAGGAATGCCCATCACTCCACACTGACAAGAAATTAGCCGTGGTTACTGTAAAGCCTTTATTTGATAAGTTCAATGCCTGAATTACTTGTGGCTTTATTTTCATTGTCTGATGTTATTTTGGTTATCAGTTATTTGATCTTGTTTTCAGACATGCCTGGTGATTTTGTTGGAGTGTCCGAGTTTTCAATTTAAATGACTGTATTTTGCATTTCTCGAAGTTCTTTTGGCTATTTTGCAAATCTGTCTTTTTCTTTGATTATAATGTCTATTTCTTCTTTTACATTTAGGGTTAATTAAAAATAATTCATATTTTAAAATAATATCATACTTAGTTGGCTTCTTTGAAGTTCTTTAAATATCATATTTCAGATTTTTAGCACTAGGATAATCTTCTGGTATAGTTTATTAACTATCATATGCTAAATTAAGCCATGCAGGCAAAAAATTCCAAATATAAATGTTTTTTTTTTTTTTTGAGAGAGAGCATCTCTCATATTTACTGATCAAATGGTTGTTAACAACAATAAAATTCTGTATAGGGGACTCAATGCACAATCATTAATCAACCCCAAGCCTAATTCTCAACAGTCTCCAGTCTTCTGAAGCATAACGAACAAGTTCTTACATAGTGAATAAATTCTTACATGGTGAACGGTGCAAGGGCAGTCGTCACAGAAACTTTCAGTTTTGATTATGCATCATGAACTATAAATAATCAAGTCAGATATGATTATTCATTTGATTTTTATACTTGATTTATATGTGAATCCCACATTTCTCCAAGATTATTATTATTATTATTATTTTTAATAAAATGCTGAAGTGGTAGTAGATGCAAGATAAAGGTAGAAAACATAATTTAGTGCTGTAAGAGGGCAAATGTAGATGATCAGGTCTGTGCCTATAGACTAAGTATTAATCCAGGCTAGACAAGGGCAACCAAACATCCACGGATGCAGAAGATTTCTCGCAAAACGGGGGGGTGAGGTTCTACACCTCACCTCTGTTGATCCCCAATTTCTCACCTGATGGCCCCCCTGCAACTGTGCCTGTCTTAGGTTGTTCCTCCCTTGAGGAATCTTACCCGTCTCTGGCTAACCAGTCATCTTCCGGGGCCATACAGGGAAATGTAAAGTTGGTAAGTGAGAGAGAAGCAATATTCTTTGAAAAGGTTAGCTTTTTACTTCTTTGCAGATTTACACCCTGTGGCTTCTATGCCCAGCATTTGTCTTGAGGTATCTTTACCACTTGGAAGAATTATGATACTCAGTAATTTTTTATATGAGGCACGAATTCTACTAAAGGGTCGTAATTAGGAAGGAAGCAAATACACATGTTTTAAAAACACGTATCTGTCAAGCTGCATGTTCAAATTACTCTCTAAGGCAGTGTCCTCTACATGAGGGCCCAGAATTGCATCTTCATTATCAACATGTGCTCCCATGATCAATTATCTTGGCAGAACAAGAGAATCATAAAGAATAGCATACAAATCCTTAAATGCTTCCAGCAAGTAATGACACTTGTAATTTCCACTCACATTTCACAGGCCAGAGCAATCACATAGCATTTAAGGGGATGGGAATTGCAATCATACTGAATGCTTAAATAAGGAAAAACCCAGAAACGTTGGTGAGCAGCCTTAGGAACTACCACCTATGGTGTTTAATTTTTTATGTGAGCTCAGTCTTTTTGGAAACCGTTCTTCTGTGGGCACTCTGTGCCATACACTATTTGAGCAGTCCTTACAGAGAAGATTTGTCTTAATTTCTGCCTCATGCCCCAGTGATTTTACAAATATAACCAGTTTTTGTGTTAATTTTCCAGCTTAGGTTTCTTCTTCTCACAAATTATTGGCTCCATGCCCACTGCTTGCTCAAGTTTAGTTTCAGTATTTCACTGGATTTTTCACCGAGAAATTGTAGACCCATTACATGAAAGATGCAGCAATCTCAGAAACAGAATAGAGAGCCCAGAAGTAAACCGAGATCTATATGGTCAATTGATATATGACAAAAGAGGCAAGAATATACAGTGGTGAAAAGACAGTCTCTTCAATAAATGGCATTGGGAAAACTTGACAGCTACATGCAGAAGAATGAAATTGGATCACTGTCTTGTGCCATACCCAAAAATAAACTCAACGAATGGATTAAAGTCCTAAATATAAGACCTGAAACCATAAAACTTCTAGAAGAAAACACAGTAAACTCTTGAATATTGGCTTTAGTAATTTATTTCTAAATATGTCTCCCCAAGCAAGGGAAACAGAAGCAAAATAAAATAAGTGGGACTACATTAAGCTGGAAAGATTCTGCACAGCAAAAGTCCATCAGGAAAATGAAAGGGCAACCAAAAGAATGGGAGGAAATATTTGCAAGTAATTTATTTGATAAGGGACTAATATCCAAAATACATAAAGAACCCATACAATTCAACACCAAAAAAACAAATAATCTGATTAAAAAATGGGCAGAGGACCTCAATAGATCTTTCTCCAAAGAAGACATACAGATGGTCAACAGATACATGAAAAGATACTCATTAATCAACAGGGAAATGCAAATCAAAACCACAATAAGACAGCACCTCACACCAGTCAGGATGGCCACCTCACACCAGTCAAAAGACCAGAAATAACAAGTGTTGGTGAGGATGTGGAGAAAAGAGAACCCTCCCACACTCCTGGTGGGAACGTCAATTGGTGAAGCCACTATGGAAAGCCGTATGGAGGTTTCTCAAAAAACTAAAAATAGAAATACCATGTGACCCAGCAATTCCACTTCTGGGAATTTACCCAAGGAAAACAAAATCGCTAATCCAGAAAGACATACACACTCGTATGTTTATGGCAGCATTATTTGCAACAACCAAAACATGGGTATAATCTAAATGTCCATCAATAGATGAATGGATAATGAAGATGTGGCACATTTATACATGGACCATTATTCAGCCATAAAAAGAATTAAATCTTGCCATTAGCAACAACATGGATGAACTTAGAGAGTATTATGCTCAGTAAAATATGAGATGGAGAAAGACAGGTACCATGGGATTTCACATATATGTGGAATCTAAAATACAAAACAAACAAACAAACAAATAGAAACAGACCCATTAATACAGAGAACAGACTGGTGGTAGCCATAGGTGAGAAGGCTGAGGAGTGTGAAATAAGTGAACAGGATGAAAAGGTACAAGCTTTCAATTATAAAATAAATTAATGACAGTAATGAAAGTACAGCAAGGGAAAATGGTCAATAATATCGTAATATCTTTATATGTTGACAGATGGTAACTGTGCTTATCACGGCAGGCATTTAGTAATGCATGTAATTGTTGAATTACTATGTTGTGCACCTAAAACATAATGTTTATATCAACTATTTTAATTTTAAAAAGATGCAGCAATCTCTGTTTCCACTTTCCAACTTACCTATCACTGTACATATTCAAATCCCTGTTGTTAGCTTTAAAACTTACATCCTTTCTGATGTCTTCATAAACCACTGTACCATCACTTTGCAAACTTAACGTGCTTTAAATGACTATCTCCTTCATTTATGTGACTTGGTATTTCCTGGCTATGTACTCAAAAACTTATTAAAATTCTGCAGTTTTATATGTTGTCTACCATGTTGCCAGAAGTGCAAGTACTAGGTATTTGTTTTTCAGTCTTCTCTACAACACTGTAATTATGAAGATAGGAACCATGTCAACTTACAGACTCTACCCACCTCTTGTTTCTCAGGGCTCAATAAGTGCTTGACAAATGAGAAATAAGTATTAACACTCTAGGATGGTGGATAGTGTTTCTGAAAGCAACCATCATTCTCTCTTTTCCTGTACATGTATGCCTCTCATCCCATTAGCAGATGCAGTCTGTTTTCCCTTCCTTGAATCTGGGCTGTGACTTGCCTTGTCCAGTAGAAATTGGTGGAAGTGATGGTCTGGGACTTACAAGCCTATGCCTTAAGAGAACTGCATCTTCTATTTTATCTTCCTTGGAGCTGAGCCATTTGGATGCAAGAAAGTCCAGACTAAAGTACTAAGTGATTGAGACCACCTGGAGAGAAGCCCTGCAGAATGAGAGGTCACCATGGATGTTCAGCCCCACAAGCTGTCACTTGCATGTGAATGCATGAGACATGAAACAAGACAGCAGAACTGCCCACCTGAACCCCAGCCAACCCATGACACTGTGAGAAATAAGAAACTGGCTGTTTAGGCCACTAAATTTTGGGATGGTTAATTACATGGCAATAAGTAATTGAGACACTTAACTAACACAGCTGGAAATGCTACTGAAAGAGACAATAGGAAAAAAAAGAGAAAAAAGACAATAGAGAATTAGACGCTTACTTAAAAATGACAATTTGTAGGGGAAAAATTCTAGAAGCTAAATTACTGTCTTTAAGGTGACATGACTAAAAGAAAACAAAATTAATTAAACCAAGGAATTTTGAAAGTTTAAAAAACTGGTTCTAAAACTCAGACACGTTGGCATTTGAAGGCTGACCTCTTCCTGGGTGAAAGGAGCAGTTTCATTTTGACGTTGCCAGCTGGTGTCTTTTAGAAGATTGGCTGAATTTGAAGTTACTTTTATCATTTGTGTACGGCCTCTGCATTTTGTACAGTGGAATTGCTTAAGAAGTAGAATATAACCTATAGCTTTCTGGCTGAGAAACTCACCACAGGCTTTCTCTTCACATTCAAGTGAGTTCAGTTCTTTGGGGAAATCTGGCATTTTAAAATAGAACAAATGATGCCACTCCAGAACTGATGCCAAACAAAGGCTTCAGCAGTAGTCACCACAAAGATTGTAACTTTTCATGCTTTTGGCATTTCATAAATTCTGATTGTAAGTTTTAGAAAAAAATGGAGCAAATTCTAAATTTTTAACCTGTTTTGTTACAGATTGTAAAATAACATAGTTCATATTATAGCACAATAATTTTTATTTTATGAGTGGCCAGGTTAGGGTAATAAAGCCATTCCATGCATTTCTACAGAACTGTCCAAAATATAAGTCAGGTTGTGTGGATTTGAACCTGGACATGGGTTCATGCCAAATATAAAGAGTCTCAGTTTTATTTTTGATGATCGCTGAATTTCTGCCAAGTTTCTATGAAACAAGGGCCTGAAGCTTTCTCTAGCCTTAACATTCTATATTTGATCTTGTAGAAGTAAAGTACATATATCACCAGTCATTATGTTGATGATTGCTTAAGCATGAAATAAGAGGAAAGAGGAGAAAACAGGGCTGCTACTCACTGTTAAGTGCATGTTGATGATATCCCTACCTTTTCATGGGAACTTTGTGAGTAAAACTGTCTTTTAGTCTTAAAACAGCTTGTCCAACACGTTTCTTCAGACTTATTCTTTCATTAAGTCATCACCTGGGTAATGGTATCCTATTGATGAAAGAAATCTATTGATACTTGATTTCCCTTTTATCTAGTAAAGGTCACATTAAGTAAACCGGGCATATGAATTGAATGCGGTAATAAATGGCTTCATCTGCAATATGCTACAGAGAG